GGCGCCAGGAGGCCAGTTGGTGGGTGTGACCCCCGCCTACTGGAATTTGGAGGATCTGGGTGGAGGATGCTCAGCCCAAATCCGAGTAGGCTTGGAGATCTCGGCCTCGGAACCCACGTGACTTTGTCCCTCTGCCAGTACCTTCATGTGTGCGGAGAGTGGTCTCAGCATGGTGGTGGCTGGTCCTGGAGGTCTTTGGCTGCTGGAGCCATGGTCGGGGCGGGGAAGAAAGCTCAACCCGCTCCCCTCCAAGGGGTCCCGGCGAGCGAGGACAGTCAGGCGCGGGGGCAGAAGACTGCACTCTTCTCTTCCGGGATCTGGTTATATATAGAAAAGAAAAAGAAAATAACACTAAAGAATACACGCATTCTGAATATTGTTATTCCAATTTTAGTCAGAGAGCTGAAGTGATGGTATAGTGCGTATGCACTTACCTTGTACATGGCCAATCAGGGTTCTAAATCTGCTGGAATTTCATATAGTCCCTCAAGCTCTGCCAGGAGTGATCACTGAGCACAGAGCCGGGAGTAAGCACTGAGCATTGTTGTGTGCCCCCTCAAATAGAAACAACACATTAGAAAAAAGCTATAAAGGTAGCAATAAATTGCATTTTTGTGATAATTTTATCCTGATTTTGAAGTATTATTATGACTTTAATGAAAATGTTAAAGCTAAATCATTTACATTGCTAAATGCAAAGAAACTACCACAACATCTTAAGCATAACACTTTGGCTAATAAAAAAAAGTACTCAAAGACAAAGTTTAGCTCTATAAAAATTTCTGATTTTTAGTCCAATTTATAATGGCAGTTGGGCTGGAGCGATGGCACAGCAGGTAGGGCGTTTGCCTTGCATGCAGCCAACATGTTTGACCCGAGTTTGATTTCTCTGCCCCTCTCGGAGAGCCCAGCAAGCTACTGAAAGTATCTCTCCCACACGGCAAAGCCTGGCAAGCTCCCTGTGATGTATTCGAGGTGCCAAACATAGTAACAAGTGTCACAATGGAGACGTTACTGGGCCCGCTCAAGCAAATTGATGAACAACGGGAGGACTGTGACCATGATAATGGCAGTTATATCAATGCATATCAATTATATCAATGCATACATACAATATGCATTGTATTTTATTAATGAAAAATAATCCGTGTTTAAAGTATATATTACATATTGCTATTATAGCAGTATTTATATACATTCCGTTATTCCCAAGTTTCAGATCCACAGTCACGGAGAGACCAAATCCACACATGATAGTTGGAAAAGGAAAGGAACTTTATTGCTAGCTGGAGCTAGGGTTCAAGATTCATCCAATGCAGCGGAGCCTTGACAAGTACCCTGACCCTAATTTCAGAGGGCATTATATAACATATGGTTACATCAGCTACTTCTTCTTTACAGTTAACAAAAGACTGACACTAGCATTGCTGAAACGACACATGGTGATTGGTTGACCCCCACTTGCTGAGCTAAGAAGCTTTCCAGGAGGGGTGTGGTTGGGTAGTTACACATTGTTTGATTTCTGGGAAACTGATGTTGTTTCATTTCCAGAAACTGAACCTGAGGCCTACCTGATTTTTCTCATGTCTGCTGCCTGTAATGGCATTGCCATTGCTTATGGTGTTGGTCATTTCTTCATCATAATATTAGTACAAGTTAGATAGTAATAGTCAAAGAGATTATATTTGCCTAGTGTGGGAATTAAATTTATGTGACATTAAGGAATATCCCCTTTTAACCTTTCAGTTAAAGCAAGTATTTTCTTACTCTAGGTAATTTCTTTAAGTGCAAATAATGTTACACAAAAAATTTCAGCAAGATTCATAGTCAGAGACCAGAGATTTTGTAATGACTCACAGTGTGAAGGAAATATTCCAGTACTCTCATAAAAAATTAACACACTAATTTTAAGCAATAGTGTTTGTCTTATATTTGGGTCTATGTCACTTAATGAAAAAATATCTATAAGTCACTTATTGATTGATTTATATGGAAAAGACCTTTATGATCTTGTCACAAAAACAGTGAATATTTGTTATTTTAAGGAACACATTAGAAGTCCAGTGTTAAATGAGGATAGACAAAAAGAAGTTTTTACAATGTGTTCTCTGCAAACAAATTTTTTATTAAGGTGTTTTGGGCTGAATGATAGCATAGTGAATAGGGTATTTACTTAGCATATGGCTGACCCAGGGTTCGATTTCTCTGTCCCTCTCAGAGAGCCCAGCGAGCTACCAAGACTTTTCCACCCGCATGGCAAAACCTGGCAAGCTCCTGGTCACATATTCGATATGCCAAAAACATTAACAACAAGTCTCACAACGGAGACATTACTGGTGCACACTCAAGCAAATCTATGAACAATGGGAGGGCAGTGCTACAGTGCTAAGGTGTGTTAAGAGTTATGACCTTTACTCAAGTAAAGAAAAATTAAGAAACCTTGTGAATGTGTCCCAATTAATTATTTGCAAGGATGCCAAGTAAATTTTAGGACTCTCTTTATCATAACCTATACTTTGTCAAAACTAACATCATGTCACACTAAAAGAAATCAGTATAGCATTTATGCTATACGGATTTAATATATCATCCATTTCTACAGGTGACTGTTTGCTAAAGTAAGTAGGAAATGAGCCTCATCATTAAGACTATTATTTTTATTTCCATAGTAACAAAATGCCAAAGAAATTCTCACAACCTATTTCATCCACAGAGGAGTCAGTAAAACTACGGAAGTATTCATAGCTTTAGATTTCTAAAGCTTCTCTAAGGTCATTTTGAAATGGATGAGTTAGCAAACATCTATGTTAGATAGCCTACGGGGACATAACCTAACTATTTACTAGTAACAGCTTGAGAGCTATGAAAATTGAGCAATTACCTGAGGAAATTTGTTGTTTGGCATTGGCTTTTGTCCCTTATTGTTTCCATGGAGACAAACAGGGGAAAAAATTATGTGTACTTGCTAAATAAATGTTAGCAATTATTCTCAAAAGAAAAGGATGGCCTTGATAAAATTTGTCAATTTTTATAAACTTTATTATTAATATTTAGTTCTTAGTTTTCTACTTTATAGTTAAAACAACGAAAGCCCATGTAATTTCCTCTTGACTGCCGATCTATGTGTATAATTCTATATCTCTGTCTATAGTATAGTGGCAAACTATAAAAATCAAAGATTTGTATATGTAGCCACTTGTCCAATGGACTATACTACTGTGATTTTTGTAGATGGATATGTTGATAATTATGTTTGAAAATAATTTTAACAAGATCAATTTCCATAATCCTTCTCCTTTTCTGGCTCATCAAGTCCAGCATATAAGTGTGAATCTCCAGCATCTTCTTCATCTTCTATCCTAAAGTATATCCACATTGAAAAGTGAACTCCACAACTTTAGAAAGTATGTGTTTGTAAAAAAAATGAAGACTGGTTAATTTACCACCTGGGTAAGGGAATTAACCATTCATGATATGGCAGGTTTTTTTACTCAAATTTCTCTCTCTTTCCTATTTCAAAATTATCAAACTAAGAGAACTGGAGTTGTTATTCTTACAAAAATACTGAGATTCTCCGAGAGAGATTGGAAAGGAAAGGTGATTTATTATGTTTCTTGTCATTTTCTCATTCTTATCTGACCAGTTATTTGACCAATTAAATATCAATAACTGGGAAAGAGATATTTAGCACGTGGTTCAAGTGTTTGTCACTTTACAAGTGAGCTGACAGTTGCTAAAGCAAGTTTTGATGCATATTCATCAACATTGAGATTTCTGTATTTTGCAATTGTTTGTGCTATTCTGTGTTGCGCCACTGTTTTCCCAATCTATGGAAAGATAATAAGAACAATAGTTATGCTATTTTGCAGAATATGGAATAATTGTGTCCTCTATTGTCTTAAGAGTGATTACATAAAAAAGTATTGCATATTGGCTATGCCTATTAAGTTCTTCTGGCCACCCCATTCCTGTACTTCACACTAGAGTTAGTTGAGCAAGCAAATATAATTTACGTTCAGTTTTTTTCTAGCAGGATGGTTGACTGCATAAATTAAAGAAGTCATTTTTCCTTTATACTATACAGTAGTCATGCTATTTGAAATTTAGAGTTTTACTTCAAGTCAAAAATATTAAGTAATCAGACATACATATCTTCATTGAAAAAGTCCACTTAGTATAGCATCGTAAAAGATAGTAAAATTTCAAGAACCATTATTTCAATTACCTTTTGCTTATAATTTGTGAAAACTCGAACACAATGAATTATTAGGTAAACTTTGCCCCCAGTTTGCATTACCATCTTATTAGAGAACCTCTTTAAGATAAATTGCTCACTAAAAAGATAAAAAAAAATAGCACTTGGGATTTTTGGTAAGAATTTGATAGAACAAATTCATTGTTCTTTAAATCATTTTATAATGCATTCTAAGAGAACAGACTATTAGCAATAAAATAATTTTATTTAAAGCATTCTCTCAGTGATTTTTGTATTGAAAAGTTTAAATGTTCAGAGATTCACAAAAGAAAGTTTTCTGAAGCTAAAACTTACTTTTCACTATTTTCCTTGAATAGTTTGAATGAACATTTTTGTCATTAAATACAGATCATTGCTTTTAACAAAGTCTCCAAATTGCGTATTTTTGTGGAAATATTTTAAGTGATGCTCATGTGAGATTCTGTATTTTTATGAACTAAAATTCATAAAAATTATTTTTATGAATAAAATATTTATATATTATTTATATACTATTTATATATTAAAAGGTAAAGGTAAAGGCCCTCCCGTTGTTCGTCGATTTGCTCGAGCGGGCCCAGTAACTTCTCCATTGGAGACTTTGTAGTTACTGTGTTTGGCATATCGAATACTTCATGGGGAGCTTGCCAGGCTCTGCCGTGCGGATGAGATACTCTCGGTAGCTTGCCGGGCTCTCCGAGAGGGGCAGAGGAATCGAACTCCAGTCAGCCATGTGGGCTGCGTGCAAAGCAAACGCCCTACCGCTGTGCTATCGCTCCAGCCTGCAGCACATATACTAAAATTGGAACAATACAGAGAAGATTAGCATGGCCCCTGCACAAGGATGACACGCAAATTCAATAATGTTATATATTATTCAGATTTAATACCTATCAAATTCCACAGCAAACTCTTAACCCAATCAACTTAAAATCTCTGGAGAAATTTTAATTAGGTAGGATTAAATTCCCCTACCTTCTTCTAAATAAAGGTGGTTTTACCTGAAAAAATCTGATTTTTAATTAATTAATTAATTTTTAATTAATTAAAAATCCTAGAATTTTTTCCTTGGAAACATCACACATTTAAAGAATTGTCTAAAAAGGTGCAACTAACAGATGGTCTTAATGAGGAATGGAATGAAAGCTCATTTAGAACCAGAGGGGGATGCTGTCATTGGGGATACGATTTGTTCATGTTTTCCAGAAAGAGAAATAATCCAGTGTAGACTGCAGTGGTGATGCTTAATGCTATTAATCATATTGGATTTAGTAGCAGACATGGAACTAGTCAACTTTACCTTATGTCTCGAAGAAAAAAATAAGGTTATTGTTGTAAAAAAGAACAAAGTGGGTATTATCCTTGTTGATGTTTTCATTTACAACTTTGTTTGAAAAATATCTAGCCAAATTTTGATGAGATTGTCTCAGTACTGTGCAGGAATGGGTTTGTTATTCATTTAACTTATATCAATAAGAAGTAGGGCAAGGTCCTTGAAAAGATGGGCAAAATGGGATTAGATTATCTAGTGGTATCTTTGAATATAAATTTGAAAGTATTTCTTCTCACTTCGGAGGAACAAGTGAGGGTAAAAACAGGTAAAAATTTGAAGGTTGGAGGTCATTAGAATCCATAATTTACGAAAATGATTCTGTCAAGGTTTCATTCACTGTTCTAAGAAAGGAAGGTAGGGAAGATCGGAGGAAATATCTGGAATACGTCCTGTGATGTGTGGGATTTAGATTCGAAGAAACTTTTATTGAAGGAAGAGAGGGTTGGGTAACTCCTAAAAGCAGGTAGCACCCTCCAACCCCCATCAAGCACTATATTTGAGAATTCTGGGTTTTTGTTTGGTGTGTGTGTGTGTGTGTGTGTGTGTGTGTGTGTGTGTGTGTGTGTGTGTGTGTGTGCACGCATACACATGTGCATGCACATGCCATTTGTGAGCTTGAGATCCCACATATCAGTGTGCTTTGATTCTGGCAGTTTTCCTACCTGTGCCAACATTCTGTGGTGACTAGAGATCCCATCTAATTGCGTACCTAACCCCCTAAATGTATCTCACCTGCCTACTCTGGCAGAGCTATTTTGAGAAATTGGCCTCAAGTAAACAGCTGAGGAGTTATTTGTTAAAATGGAAGGTAGAGAAGCAATGATGATTATCAGGAAATGTAAGAAAATATGTTTGCAAAGTTAAACTGTCTAAAGTTATTGAAAGTGTCTTCAACTGCTATTTTTATTGCTATTACTTATACTGTCATTAATTTTACTGTGTTGTCTTGTTGCTATTGCTACCGATCGTATTTGTTTATGGCTTGAGTTTGGTGTGAAGGAGGCCTTCTCGGCCCCGAGCAACGTCCAAGGCAGAGTCCCAGAGCACTGCTGGGGGAGATTCAAAAACAAAATAAGCTAAAATCAAAACAACAAAAACATTTATACAATCTTTGATTGTTTAAGTTGCAGAAAGATTTTATGAGCCTCTAATATTCAGATTTTGTTTCACTAGATAATATAAGGAAAAAGTGTTTTTCTTGCTTTCAACCTGGAAACGAATTCAAAATTTACAAAGCATAATAGCATATTTTCTCATTTTCCATATATTTTCTAATTTCTAGCTAATATGTTTATTTTCATGAATCTTACTTAACCTTTTAATTGTTTTGTAGGTACAGCTACTACTATTTGACAATCCTTGAATATCAGACACTATATAGTAGATCTTATAAATGATCCTCATATAAACCATCCAAGTTTGTCTAATGTAATTTATGGTGCAAAGAAAATCATCCTGTATCTCTCTTGATTCTTTGAGAACAGCAACTAAACAAGAAACTGATTGTTTAGAGAAAAAGTCAAGAAGAAGCTTAATAATAAAATAATAATCCTACATAGCTCCTGCATACCTGGAAAAGACCCAGTAAGACCTAAAAAGAGTATTTCCCCTCATAATCAGACACTACTTAAATAACTGCTGTGGGTGGGGTATGGGAGGAAGGGAGAGAGAGAGAGAAAGAGAGAAAGAGACAGAGAGACAGAGAGACTGAGAGAGACAGAGAGAGACAGAGACAGAGTAGAGAGTTTTGTCTAGAGAAAGGTCATTTGTGATGGATAACCTGTTGGAGGTATAGTAAACAATGGCAAAACTATTGAAAGGAATTAAGAAAATTCAGTCTTCATGGTAGTGTGAGGAATGTGCCTTGCAGAGAGAAGTTTGCGTGTAATTGTCTTTTTCAAAAGCCACCTCCTCACAGCCTTCAATGTCCTCTCTATGAAACACATCTTGACAAAGTCATGTTTGGGAGTGTCAGATTTTTGCTCCACTGCAAAAGCTTATTATGTTAGTAATTATTCTTTCCATCTAAAAAATAATTGAAGTTTAGAGAGTTTAGGAAGTTTATCTAGGTCATTTAATTGCTGACTATTGGAGCCAGTACTCAAACTCAAGTCTCTTTCTTCAAAATGTGAGCAGTGTACTATTTGCTGTGTTGTTGTTGGTTGTAACATATTGGTAAGAGTAGACCCTCAAGATAATACTTTAGAAAAAAAATGGTGAATGGGAAATGTAGCATAAAAATATTTCAAAGATATTAGTCACATTATTAGATTAATTTTTAACCTTGAAGATTCAGCTTCACTGCCACTGGAGGGTCAATCAAGTAGAAACAAGAAAACAACAGAAGAGAAAGTTTTATTGATAACCAGCCTGCAAGGGGGAAGATGGTGGATTCATGTCCTCAGAGTAAACATTCTGTCTGCGGTCACAGCATAGGATTTTATAGCTAAAGGGAAGAAAAGGTGGGCTGCAGGCCAGTGGCTGACAGAATAAGTGTAAAATCTACTGTGGGCTTATCCTCAGGCACACCTCATCTTCTCCACACCTTGAACAAAGTAAGGACTAGGTGAGGAACTTGTCTTTATCTTTAGGGTTTTGGGTAGATGGGGGAGTAAGTCAAGGACACTTGTCCTTGTATAGAAGTGTTCTATTTCTGATTGGGGAGGAGCTGGTTTCAATCTCATAGCACATGTAGCACTGTCCTCCCATTGTTCATCGATTTGCTCGAGCAGGCCCAGTAAAGTCTCCATCATGAAACTTGTTGTTACTGTGTTTGGCATATCGAATACGTCATGGGGAGCTTGCCAGGCTTTGCCGTGTGGGTGTGATACTCTCGGTGGCTTGCCAGGCTCTCTGAGAGGGGCGGAGGAATTGAACCTGGGCCGACCAGGTCAGCCGCATACAAGGCAAAACACCCTACCCACTGTGCTATCACTCCAGTCCAAGTTTTCAATCTTAGTGCTCAGAAATTTTGTATAGACCCGAGCTCTTCAAAGTAATTTGAAAATACAGTCCTTTACAAAAAATGAGTGAGGTCCAGACTTGGTGGGTACTATTGATTTCACCTTCTACGATTTTTTTTATTGTGTTGAAGGCAAATAGATGAGGTGGGGAAAATGATAATGACTTTTTCAGGAAATAATAAACTCAGAAGAAATTGCCTGGCTCTGACACAGTCCAGTGAAGAGCTCCTCCCTTTGAGATGCAATAATAAACACTTTGGAGATGAAGAAAGTGAGTCACTATCCCAGGCAGAAACTGAGGCACTCTCTAAAGAAAGGTGAATGGATCCCCTGAGAAATTAAAAAGCTGCAGGAGAATCTAAAGATCTCCTTCTGTTTCACCTTTTCAGCTATCTCCCTGGATTCAATGCTTTTACTTTTTAACATTGGTATTAAAATATTATATTTTTCCAAAGGGAAAGAAAAATAATTTTGTCTGATTTTTGAAGGATTTATGGCATCACCAGTTTACATTGTACTGTTTTGCTAACGCAATATTATTGGGAATTTTGAACCACAAATTTAAAAATGCCTTTTTGTTGTGTTACGTCTTTCCACAGGTAAGTGCAGACAATAAAGCAAAGAACATGAGTATAAATATGTAGAAATCTCTATTCCATCTATTCACAGTAATTTCAATGACACACATTACCAGACCACAAACAAATAACTGTATCCAGAAATGCTCTTGAATTCCCTGTGCAAGGAATAAAACTTGCTAGTAAATGAAAGTAGATTCTCTCTACGGCTTAGCTAAGACTTTATTTCACCTCTGAGAAATAAACTGGCTAAAGCAGAAACGTTTATGCTAACAAAGTAGGGTTACAGTGTCAGCCCACTGACATTCAGGCTCCCCTGTAGTCTTCGTTGTTGCCACAGAGTGTTGTCCTGCTAATTAATTTCCTTGTTAGGTCACAAGGGAGCATTTAGAGAAGAGCTGTAATAGTTTCTCTCTTTTATCCTGAATGGATAAATCAGTGATCATGAGTTATTTTTAGACTTTTAAAAATTCATTTCACATGTAATTCCACAGTCAAGAATTATTATCTCATATTTTTTCTGTCTTGCTAAAATCTTTCATTGACAATTAGACAAAATTTCAAACTGCTCCTAACCCACCCTCTTAAAAATAGAAGTAAATAAAATCTTGCTGTACATTAAAAAAATGGTATCTTTGGATAGAAAAGAATCCTAAGGAAAATACAGTTTCTTTATGTCTGCAGATTTAGGCAGATGGTGTTCTGTACATTTAGAACTTCCAGCAACAGTTTTCTATAGTATTGGCAATAAATCTACCATTTGCAATCTATTGTCTATTTAAATCTATTTAATTTACATTTAACAAGACACCTCTTATTCTTGTAAGTTAATTAGAGTTAGTGACTATTAAAAGGATACTAATTGAAATGCAATAAATAAGATAACTTAGTTGGTGTGTAATTAAACAAATTTACATAAGTAATAAACACCATATAGCAGTTTTCAAGAATAGAGTTCAGCTAATGCTGATAGACTAATTTCATAGAAGAACAAGTGTCTAGGC